TCTGGAGTGACATCTCCCTGTGTAAGACAAGCACTTTGGACCACTGTGTGCTTCTGACCTTGTCCCCAGGCCCAGATGAAGCTGCAACAGTCTCCAGTCCTGGGACCCCCTTGTCTACAGCAACGTGGCCTTAAAGATCCCTGGCTGCTTACCTGTGCAGCTGGTGGGGTCCCCACGCTCTGTCCTCAGTGCCCTCAGCTCAGAGACCTGCCTCCTGCTGCTTCCCCGGGGACTCAAGCTCTGCCTAGGACCGGTTTCCATTTCCCTGCCTTGTCCTTCCTGGCTGCTTCCATCACCAGCTGCTTCGGCTCTTCTGAAATCATGTCACATTTCTGCCACCCACCTGCCACATCTGGGCCCTACCGCCACCCTCCTCGCGGTCACTGTGTCACCAGCCTGCTGGTAGCAGGCATTCTCTCAAGCCTGGCCTCTCATATCACCCCTGCCACCATTTCTCTCCTGCTGGTCTCTGCATTCTGTCACCCCCTCCCCCTGCCCCCACTTGGACACAGTAGATCCTGGGCTCACAACGACGCCTGGAAACTGGTTGGTTAGAAATACAAGCTCTCTGCCATAGCCTAGACTCGAGTCAGACACTCTCAGAGTGGAGGCCAGCGATCTGTTTGTACAAGCCCTCCAGATGATGTTGATGCTGTCAAAGCTGAGATGCACTGCCTAGCATGTCCTCTCAGCCCCTTCAAGAAGATTCTTTCCAAAGTCCAGGCCAACTCCTTGAATTCTCCTACCCAGCACCCAAGGGTCCTCTTCTCTTCTCTTCTCTTCTCTTCTCTTCTCTTCTCTTCTCTTCTCTTCTCTTCTCTTCTCTTCTCTTCTCTTCTCTTCTTCTTCCTTCTCTCTCTCTCTCTCTCTCTCTCTCTCTCTCTCTCTCTCTTGTTGTTGTCAAGACAAGGTCTTGCTGTGTACATAGCCAAAGCTGCTTTGATGCCCTCCCCTCCCTCCAGGGCTGGGAATTACAGGTATGCACCCATCATCTCTTAAACTGCTATTTCTTGAGACGCTGGTTTTACAGATCCCTGGTGGACACTGTCAGGTGGAGATTCTCTTTACCTTTGCTCCAGTCCGGTCCCCTACTGTGGCAGATCCCATGTTTGGTTAGGTCAGCACTCGTTGTCGTGACTGGACGGCTATTTTACCCAGGCAGGCAGTGGCTGCAGTTTGGTTTCTGTGTTGCCCTGAGGTGATGGTTGTGTCTCACTTCACCTGCTGTATTTGCTCTGTTCTTAACACGTGGTTACCTGCAGCCCCAGAGGCTCTTTGACATGTCAGCACATGTATGTATGCCACACCCTACTTCTCATGCGTCTGTGCACTAGGTGGGCTCAGGCTTGCTTTCTGGCTGCCTCCCCTGGGGGCTCTCCATGGACTCACCAGTCTCCTCCTGCTCAGTCTGCGGCCTGGGTTTGTGGGCTTCTTGGGAAGCATGTGGGAAGCAGGTTCTTGAGGTCCTGCTTGAAAACAGCTCTGTTTACCGGTATTCTGGGATGACTTTTGGAACCGACCAGAGGTTTTAAGATACTGCTCTAATGTCCTTAAGCTGCAGTGCTGTTAGCAAGGTGGACCTGGTTTTTGTGTGTTAGCTGCTTCCACAGCTCCCCTGCCCACAGGAAACTTTCCTATCTTTTTTTTTTTTTAAACTCTCTGTGCTCAGAAGTTTCATGAAAGGCTTTGCTGGGGTGCATGTGTGTGCGTGTTGTTAGAAACACTTTAACGGCTTTACCATTTAGACTGTCTTGTTCTGGGACAGTCTCCTTTCTTTATTTGAAAATAGACATTCCTGAGAAGGGTGACCCAAGGCTTTGGCAGGTTGATTGGCAGGAATGAAGATCAACCTGTGCTCTAGGCCAGGGTGGGCCACAGAACAAGATCCAGAAAAGCAACAACCAAACCCCCACAAAAAGTGCCCCAATAATACTCTGAAACACGAGTCATATTAGTTAATGTTTATACAAGGCCTTGGCAAACCAATGTTTAGATCCCTGGTAGATAGGTTAGAGACTTCTAGTTTATAGATTTATTTTATTTATAATATATGTGTACAGTGTTCTGTCTGTATATTTACCTGCAGGCCAAAAGAGGGCATCAGATTTCATTTTAGATGGTTGTGAGCTATCACGTGGTTGCTGGGAATTAAACTCGGGACCTCTGGAAGAACAGTCAGTGTTCTTAACCTCTGAGCCATCTCTCCAGCCCCATAGATTATTTTCAAGAACCATGAAAATGAGAAAAAGTGAGCAGGAGAGAAGACTTAGTGGTTAAGAATACGTGCTGCACCTGTAGAGGACCTGAGCTTGGTTCCCAGCTCCTCTGCCAGGGGCCTCATGGTTGCCTGTAAGTCACTCTAGCTCTAGCTCTAGGGGGTCTGATGCTTCTGACCCCCCTTCCTCTCCTAGACCTCTCTCTCTCTCACTCTCACAAACACACCTAATCATTCATTTAGAAAGGGAAACCTTTAAAGAGAAAAGCTGCTTCTAGTGTATTTAAGGGTAATACTTACTAATAACGGACTTTTATGAAAAATTGAATCAGTTAACTTGTAATTGGCTGAGCAAACTGTTGATTCCCCCCAACAGGGTTTCTCTGTGTAGCTCTGGCTGTCCTGAAATTCACTCTGTAGACCAGGCTGGCCCAGACACAGAGATCCTCCTGCCTCTGCCTCCTGAGTGCTGGGATTAAAGGCATGCGCTCCACCACTGCCTGGAGCCATCTTTTTAATAACTCATCAAATACTTATGGTCTTTTTATTTCTTCTTTACAGTTTATATTCAATGAAATACAACATTTGATAACTTTTAGCAGTTGCATACTCTAGTCCATGTGCCTGTCAGAACAGAATGTTCTCTCATGCTCCTGTTTACACAGTCCCCACTTCTTCTAAATTCTCAGTACCTGGATGACAGCTTGTTTTAGAACCTCACCTACGTACAGGTTGATCCTACGTTTGGCTTTAGCGCAAAGATTGGGAAGTAATAATATGTAGGGTGCTTTGGGTTCTACTAAGTAAGCAAAGCCAATAGATACATGAATATAATTCAAATAGGTATATTCAAGTTGCCACGGCCTGTGGATGGAGTGGCTTACTAGGGAAGAGACTACTGACTTACCCAGGGAAGGGCTATTGATGCTTTTTTTTTTTTTTTTTTTTTTTTTTAAGCTTTACTAAGATCTAATTTACATACCATAAAAATTACCAAGAGCCAGGTCTGGTGGCCCATGCCTGTAACCCCAGCACTGGGGAGGTAGAGGCAGGAGGGCTAGAAGTTCAGGGTTATCCTTGGCCACATAAAGAATTTGAGGCCAGCCTGGACTACATGAGGCTGTGTTAAAAACAAAATGAAAGAAAACCAAGCCAGGCATGGTTGGGCATGCCTTTAATTCCAGCACTCATAAGGCAGAGGCAGGAACTCTGTGAGTTCAAGGCCAGCCTGGTCTACATAACAAGTTCCAGGCCAGCCAGGGATACATAGTGAGACTCTGTCTTTAAAAAAAAAAAAATCAAAGGACTCTGTTGTTTGTTTTTAAGGGCAGTGTGTCACTGTACAGCCCGCGTTGGCCTTAAACTTGCTTCTCTGTAGCCCAGACTGGCCTTAACCTTGGAATCTCCTTGGCTCTGACTTCAGAGGATTAGGGTGACAGGTGTGCATCACAGCGTTTGAACAAAGTACTTTGTGTGTACTCCGTCCAGAAGAGGAGAAGCAGCCAACTTGAGCATTTCTTACGCTTGTCTCTCATAGTGAAACCACTTCCTGTGGGGGTTGATTAAGTGAACCTGTTGTTTCTTTCAGTGTAACTGCCATACAGAATAGATGAGCAATTCGTCTTACTAAATGGTCTTATTAATAAAAATCCTGAGCCAGATAGTGGGGTGAAAACTGAGATCAGAGAAGCAGAAAGAAGCTATCCATGTTCTTACCACTTGGAAATCTTCAGCCGAGAGAGCTACTTCCTGCATACCCATGCTTTTGTGTACACACACACACACACACACACACACACACACCTTTCTGTGTTCTGCCATCTTACGTCCTTTTTCTGCCCAGCTACATCACTTCCTGTCTATACAGACCTCCAGATCTCTGGTTAGTGATGGGATTAAAGGTGTGTGTTCCCAGTGTGGCCTTGAACTTACAGAGATCTGGATGGGTTTCTGCCTCCCGAATGCTAGGATTAAAGGCATGTGCTACCACTGCCTAACCTCTACATTTAATATAGTGGCTGGCTCTGTCCTCTGATCTCTAAATAAACTTTGTTGGGGTGCACAAATAAAATATCACCACACCCGACACAAGAACTATCTGATTACACACAACATAGAATTATAGTTAGTGAGCTGCTATTATGTGAGCCATTAAACATTGTTTTAGCCATTGTAAATGATAATGACATATATGAACTGTTCTTGTATATTGGTTATTGATGGTTGCTTGGATAGAGTGCAGTTTAAAAATAAAGGTCTATGTTGAATAACAATTAAAATAAAAAAAAACATTGAGTTCTTTCTAAAAATTAATTATTTTTTAAAGACAGGGTCTCTCTACATAACCCTGGCTGTCCTGGAACTAACTATATAGACCAGGCTGTCCTCAAACAGACCCGCCTATCTCATCCTCCTGAGTGCTGGGCTTACAGATGTGCATCACTACACCCTGAGATGAGTTTTTTTTTTTTTTTTTAAAGGAAACTCATTATTGTATTATTATTACTGTTCTGTCTGAGACAGGGTCTTACTCTGTAGCCCAAGATAGCCTGAAACTCGCTGTGTTGCTCAAGCTGGCCTTAGACTTGTAGCTTGGCTTCTGACTGCTTGGATTACAGGCACCTGTGTGCATCTCCCTAGAGACTCTCGGTTTTCACCTGCTGTGCCTAAGCTCTGAGAACCTGGGATGTAGCTTGTGATAGAAGACCAGGGTTCTTGGTGTCTGTGATGTTCTGATTCTTGGGCAGTGTGTGCTGATGCTTTTTTTTTTCTTTCTTCCATGCAGGTGATGGATAGGTAACAGAGAAGACCGCATCCCTTTCTTGTCAGGGCATCAGCATGACCGAGTGCTTCCTGCCCCCCACCAGCAGCCCTAGTGAACACCGCAGGGTGGAGCATGGCAGCGGGCTGACCCGGACCCCCAGCTCTGAGGAGATCAGCCCTACAAAATTCCCTGGATTGTACCGGACGGGTGAGCCCTCGCCTCCTCATGACATCCTCCATGAGCCTCCTGATATAGTGTCAGATGATGAGAAAGATCATGGGAAGAAAAAAGGAAAATTTAAGAAAAAGGAAAAAAGGAGTAAGTACTGGTTTTCATTTTGTTTATTTAAAAAAATTGTAACAGTTTTTATTGAATCTTTGGGAATTTCACAATCTGCATCCCAATCCTACTTTTTTCCAGGCCTTCCATGTCCACCCTCCACCCTTGTAGCCTCCCCTCAAAAGTAAATAAAAAAATGAAGTAAGGGGCTGGAGAGATGGCTCAGAGGTTATTAGCACTGACTGCTCTTCCAGAGGACCTGAGTTCAATTTCCAGCAACCACATGGTGGCTCACAATGGTCTGTAATGAGATCTGGTGCTCTCTTCTGGTGTGCAGGCATATATGCAGGCAGAACACTGCATAGTAATAAATAAATAAATATATCTTAAAAAAAAAACAAAAACCCCAAAGCATCTGTGGACTCCTGGGCAATGACCTGCTCCCCGTCAACCGCAGTGTTCTGTGATGTCCCGTTCTGCTCCTCCACCACATTCTCATTTGTTCATTGTAGGGTTGTTGGGGGTTGTGGTGTATCACACAGTATATGTACCCTTTTGCCCGAACAGCTTTACTTGTGAATGTTCACTGCAGTCAGGCAAGTTCAAAGCCTCATGGAGATCAGATATCCTGCTCTTGCCCTGATTCATGAGGATCCTGCAGCCGTGGACCCAGAGGGCCGGCTTTCCCTGGCTCAGGCAGCTCCTAGATGGGGAGGATGTTAGGGTGGGCCAACTCGAAACCCGGAGCTAGGTCTGGGTGGCAGCGAGTTGGTCCACCTGCCACCTTTCCCACAGTTCATGTCATCAGAACCAGCTCACTACAGGTTTTCTTGATGCTTTTGCTATACTGATGTTTTGCCTCAGCCTTTTGAAGGAACAGACACATGCCAACATATCCAGGTTGGTGTTTTAGATACGCTTCTGCCCTAGTCACCTGCTCCCGTTGTCTTCTGGAAATAGTCTAGGCGGACACTCCTATTTGCCATTTCTGTTCTCTGTGTTTCAGGGTCTTCATTTTTCTTAGTGTCACAAATAAAGACACCAAATTTCCAGAAATGGTGAAAGTTTTCCAGTCTATATTTTAAAAGTGGTGGCTCAAAATAATGCATAAAAAGTAGAAATTCGAATTTTACCCAGACCCTTTAAGATTTGTGGTCATGTGGGCACTCATATTGGAACTGTGAAAAAAGCCATTGGTCCTAGCATTCCATTCCAGGTGCCTCTTCCTAAGGAGGATCAGTTGCCTAATTTTGGCTGTTTGGTATCTTAAAAGCAAATAGTTATTTAAATATTACTTAAAAAAAATCCATAGTGTTTTAAAATTAATTGCCTGGGAAGCATAACACAGATTTATGAATGCTGTGCAACTTAATGGTGAATTGGACTGTGTAAACACCACAGGGACCTGGAAATCAAGATGATTGGAATGTCCTGTCCTTTTACGGCCAGCCTGGTCTACACAGAGAGTTCCAGGACAGCCTGGTCTACACAGAGTTTTAGTTTTCAGCTACTGGGTGTAGCGCTTCTGTGAACATTATTGTTGGCTTTGGTTTATATGTGCTAGATTTTGTTATGTGTGTACCTGGGTGTAGAATTGTGCACTCACAGGCTCTGGGCCTTTCAGCGTCAGTAAATCCTGCAAAAGAATTTTCCAGAGTGGTGGTACCAGTTTTCACTTTGCCATTGATGCTGTTTCCCTGAATAGCCCTGGCTGTCCTGGAACAACTACGTAGACCAGGCTGGCCTCCAACTCAGAGATCCACCTGCCTCTGCCTACCGAGTGCTGTGGTCAAAGGCCTGTGCCACCATGGCCTGACTTGCCCTTACGATTTCTGCCATTCTGATTAGTAGTGCAAGGTTCGTGGTGTTTGAGTTAAAAGGTAACTTGTGAATTGCTTTTACTCTGTTATAAAGTCACTTGTAAAGTGGTTGGCTACTGAGAAGAAGAGTTGTGGCTGTTAAAAAGAACAGTCCAGTAGGGCTGGGGTGGCTCAGCAGTGCGGAGTGCTCTCTGCTCTTCGGAGGACCTGCGTTTGGTTCCCAGCACCCATGACCTTATAACCGCCCATGTCGCTCCTGGGACCTGATGCCCTCCTCTGCCTTCCACGGGCACATGTAGCACACACTGATGTGGACACACACACATAAAATAATAATATGATAAAGTTTGCCGGGTGTGGTGGCGCAGGCCTTTAATCCCAGCACTCAAAGGCAGAGGCAGGTGCATCCATTTGAGTTGGAGGCCAGCCTGGTCTACAGAGTGAGTTCCAGGACAGTCAGAGCTATGTAGAGCTATGAAAAAGCCAGGCGCAGTGGTACATACATGCCTGTAGTTGAACTATTCTGGAGGCTGATGCAGGAGCATTATCTGTGCCCAGTTTAAGCCAGCCTAGGTAACTTAGTGAGATTCCATCCTAAACAAACAAAAACAAAGCAAACTGGCAGTTCTGAAGTGGTGTTAAGGTAACTATAGTGTCTTTGTCAGAATGCAAATATTACTTCTAATGTGTCAGCCAAAGTGAGGGAAGAATCCCATTCAGGCTCTAGCCAGGCTAGGAACGGGAGGAGGGAGAGCAAAGGGTGATAGAGGAGTAGTGGGAGCACCTAAAAGCTGTGCGTCTGTGCTGTGCTTCCTGAGTGCCTCCAGTTAAGGGACCAACAGGCAGGATTCTTCTGTCAGTGCTCTCTGCTCGGTGCTCCCTGGGTGTCCATGCTTGTTTCCCAGTGCTCTCTGCTCGGTGCTCCCTGGGTGTCCATGCTTGTTTCCCAGTGCTCTCTGCTCAGTGCTCCCTGGGTGTCCATGCTTGTTTCCCAGTGCTCTCTGCTCGGTGCTCCCTGGGTGTCCATGCTTGTTTCCCAGTGCTCTCTGCTCGGTGCTCCCTGGGTGTCCATGCTTGTTTCCCAGAACTCTGCCTGTGCGCATGCGTTCCTGGTGAAATACACAGCTGCTTTCCTCTCCCCAGTGCTTTTGCAAGGACAACTGCCGTCTGTTGCCCTCTTGTGGTCATTAGGTGCCACCACGCCATTGTTTCTTGGCTAGTTTTCTGGAGGCCCCAAGGTGAAAAGCAAGGTGCCCAGCTGCTGCCAGGTGGCACCTGTTGGTCCTTTTAGGAGCATGTGGACGTTGACATTAGAAATGTAATTTCTATCTACTGCATTTCTTTGGCAGCTGAAGGCTATGCTGCCTTCCAGGAAGACAGCTCTGGGGATGAAGCCGAAAGTCCGTCCAAGATGAAGAGGTCCAAGGGAATCCATGTGTTCAAGAAGCCCAGCTTCTCTAAAAAGAAGGAGAAGGATTTTAAAATCAAAGAAAAACCCAAAGAAGAAAAGCATAAAGAGGAAAAGCACAAAGAGGAAAAGCATAAAGAGAAGAAATCTAAAGACTTGACGGCAGCTGACGTTGTTAAACAGTGGAAGGAGAAGAAGAAAAAGAAAAAGCCAATCCAGGAGCCAGAGGTGCCTCAGGTCGACGTGCCGAGTCTCAGACCCATTTTTGGTGTTCCCTTGGCTGATGCGGTCGAGAGGACCATGATGTACGATGGCATCCGTTTGCCCGCTGTCTTCCGGGAGTGCATCGACTACATGGAGAAGCACGGCATGAAGTGTGAAGGCATCTACAGAGTTTCAGGTATCGGGGACACACGGTTTGCTTGGTGGTTTTAAAAAATTAACCTCATTGTTAAGTAAGGAAAGAATGTTAACTTTTTGTGAGGGACATTTTGGCTTGGATCCTAAACCTTATCACGTCCTTGGTCCTTCCGGTTGCCTAACTCCGTCTGCCATGTTTGGTTTTCACGCTGTCTCCTTCCATTAGGATTAATCCGAGGTCATTCACAGCTCGCAGCAACTGGGCAGAATGAGGCGTAGGGGCTGTATCACCTGTCAGGATGGCGCGCCAAGCCTTGTCTTGACTTCTTTCTAAGCCTAGGCCTAGATGGGGAGGCTGAGATCTGTGTGAAGGAAGCTTCTCAGCCAAGAGATACAGACACAGCCATGTTCTGTTTCCTTAGCCTGACTAAAGATGTGAAGTGTTATTTCTAAGTAGCCGGGCCCTAAATGTGAATGCTTCGTCAGCTACGAACAGCTACTGTATGTCAGTGAAACTGATGACCCGTTCATCTCCATAGAGTTTATGTGGACCATCGTGGTCATACTTGGTCAGAATGTGTTTCATATTGGATCTCTAAAATCAAGCAGCGAATAATTATTCAGAAGTTCTCCAAAGCAGCATGAGTTTTGTGCTCACATGGGATTCAGGTCCCAAGCTGGGCAGTGGCTGTACATCAGTCACTGTGTTCCCATAGAGGGCTATTTTTATCAAGTCCTTTGACCACACCTCTCTTCGTGTGTGTGTGTGTGTGTGTGTGTGTGTAAGTAAGTCATACACATTTAGAGCAAGGAGAATGATTGAGCAAGTTTTGTACTTAATTGGTTCATATTCTTTTCAGCCGATAGAGTTGATATTTGTGATAACATTGATATGACGCAGTAGATAAACATCTGCGTTCCTACTGTTTTATAGAAAGTAAAGCACACAGTGTATTGAAATGTATAATTTCTTGCTTCCATATAAAATTAAACACAGACTTGCAAATTTGATTTTTGAGCATTTGTTATGTATTGAAATGTTCTGAAGGTTTCGACAGTGATAGAAGCTGTTTCCCACATGATCTTGATAAGCATGGAGACATTTGGAGGGTGGGGTGCAAGTTTCTCCGAAGATTTTCTGTAGCATTCTTCAAAGAACCCTTTCGTTTCTGACCTGTTTTTGATATTTGCGTCTTTTGGATAATCACATTGTTCCTAATAGATAGTCTCCTGTTTGTGAGAGCAGTCAGTGGTTCCTACACTGACTCCGTGATGGAGCAGTGGAGCTCTGTCTCCTCTCTGCCCTCCTTGTCTGTATGAGGGATTCCGCCCAGGGCCTGAATCACGCTAAGCCATGGCTCTGCCACTCAGCTGCATCCACAGCCCCTAACCCTGGCTTTGCCATTTGAATGCCTATCCTGTAATGGTTTTTTGCTGGAGATTTTTGGTTCTCATAAGTTAGTTCCAATTAAAAACTAATGTGAAAGGGCCTGGAGAGAGAGCTCAACTGTTAAGATCACTGGCTGCTTTCCAGAGGACCCTGCTTCAATTTCCAGCACCTGCATGGCAATTCACAACGCTCTGTAACTCCAGTTTCAGGGGATTTGACACCCCCTTCAGGCCTCTGGGCACCAGACATGCACTTGATGCGTAGACTTAGGAGGCAAAACACCCATATACATATAAACAAACAAGTAAATGCTAACGTGAAATACAATTTCAATAATTTTCTGTATTTTATTATTTTATAAATTATCTAATAACTAAATTATTTTATAATTTTCTTCATTATACTTTCTAGATTAAAGTGTACCTTTACACGCCAGGCAGTGGTGGCTCACACCTTTAATCCCAGCACTCAGGAGGCAGAGGCAGGCGGATCTCTGTGAGTTTGAGGCCATCCTGGTCTACAGAGCGAGTTCCAGGACAGACAAGGCTACACAGAGTAACCCTGTCTTGGGGAAAAAATATATACTTTATACTACTGTATTTCTCAATGGAATTCCTTATTTGAAGTTTCCAGTTTTTAAAAGACAAACGTTTTTTATAAAGTTGTCTATGGGGAGGAATAAATGAAAAGTGTGTGTGGTGGAGCATGCTGATGAACCTGGTATCAAGAGGTAGAGGCAGGAGGGCTGTGAGTTGTTTAGGGCCAGCTTGGGCCACAACCTAGTGAGACCTTCTCTCCCCCAACCATGGCCAGCAACCTAATACACGAGAGGGAGAGGTGCGCTCTGGCTAGAGTCGCGGTGAAAGTTGCTCTTAATCTTGTTTTATCCAGATTGTTAAAAAAATAAGAAAAATGGGGCTGGAGAGATGGCTCAGTGGTTAAGAGCACTGGCTATTCTTCCAGAAGTCCTGAGTTCAATTCCCAGCAACCACATGGTGGCTCACAACCATCTGTAATGAGATCTGGTGCCCTCTTCTGGCCTGAAGGGATACATGCAAGCAGAACACTGTATACATAATAAATAAATCTTTAAAAAAAAAATAAGAAAAATGGAAATTCTTTTCTATCTCAAAATAAAGACCGTCGAAATAAGACATGCTGCTATCTTCATATTTAGTGCCATTGATTTAATTTTGTCAATCTAGGTAAGGAACAGACTTATTATAATGCCATTGAAGGTCTTCACATACGGTGGAAATGTCAAGTCCAAATGTGAGCATCAGATTGATTAAAGTGTTGGGATTAGATGACAGTCTGCACTTGACACTGTCAGCTCTAATCTGTGGCTTGCTCTGTGTAGTTGGTTTTAAGTGTTAAAAGAACACAAAGCTGTTATCACCATCACTGAATTATGTCACTTAATACAATGGGACTGAAGTCATAAACTCTGAAATAGGTGTTACTTTTTCAGTGCAACATGAAGAACCAAACGGTTGTATTCTAGAAGCCCTGACTATTTTCTTGTTCTAGCTTGGTTCAGATTAAGAAAACACTCAAAGAATTCAAACTTTAAAATGGAAATTCGGTGGGTGTTACATGGTGGAGACAGTTTCCAGTGAGTCCGTTAAGCTAAGAAACTTTGTTTTACATTACAGAATAACTCTTATTTACAAAGAAGCAGCTGGCCTGCTGACCTGGGGATAAGCTACACATGAGAGAGCTTAGCTTCATTTTACATTGTCTGTCTCGTGAGGATGTAGAAAGTTGCCTTTCTATGTACAGTGTATATGCTTGGATTATAGCTTCATTTCCCCCTGAATTTTTATCTAATTGCCATTATTATTTAAATTTTTCCTGGATTAAGCATAATTTCTTAATATACCATGACTTCTGCGAGTATATAGTTTTGCAATTGGGTTTTATGTGCTTGTGTTTGTTGGGAGGTCCTCATTGCAGTCCTGATTCCTCCCAGGAGGGCTCTTCCTTAGTTCTGAGCAAGGTCTTGCTAGGAGCCCAGACTGGCCTTGAACTGGCACAGTCCTCATGCCTCAGTGCTGAGATTGCGGGGTGAGCCACCACACCGGCTCCCAGAGGTGGTTACTGGCAGTCCCAGAGTCTCTGCGGCAGGTGTGTGTAGTGATGAAGAAAGCAGTCTGATTTCTCTTTCGTCTCAATTTCATTTTTTTAAGGAATCAAATCAAAGGTAGATGAGCTAAAAGCAGCGTATGACCGAGAGGAGTCTCCAAACTTGGAAGAATATGAGCCTAACACTGTAGCCAGTTTGCTGAAGCAGTATTTGCGAGACCTTCCAGAGAATTTGCTTACCAAAGAGCTTATGCCCCGTTTTGAAGAGGCTTGTGGGAGGACCACGGAGATGGAGAAAGTGCAGGAATTCCAGCGCTTGCTCAAGGAACTGCCAGAGTGTAACCACCTTCTGATTTCCTGGCTCATTGTGCACATGGACCATGTCATTGCAAAGGAGCTAGAAACGAAGATGAACATCCAGAACATCTCCATAGTGCTTAGCCCAACCGTCCAGGTATGGGAAGGAGTCAGCTGCTGAGCTGTGTGTGAGACAGTGAATCCAAGGAGGTGAATAATGGATAAGCCTGACAGAGCATCTCTGGTTTCCGTGTGTGTGTGTGTGTGTGTGTGTGTGTGTGTGTGTGTGTGTGTGTGTGTGTATGTGTGTTCGTGTGTTCAGGCCTGACAGAGCATCTCTGGGGTGTGTGTGTGTGTGTGTGTGTGTGTGTGTGTGTGTGTGTGTTCGTTTGTTCGTTCGTTCGTTCGTTCGTTCGTTCGTTCGTTCGTTCGTTCGTTCGTTCGTTCGTTCGTTCGTGTGTTCAGGCCTGACAGCATCTCTGGTTTCCCTTTGTGTATGTGTATTCAAGTTCGTAGGTGGGAATTGCATGTGTGTGTGTCTGCACATGTGGGTACATGCATACTTACCTGGAGGTTGTAGGACAAACTGAGGTATTGTTGCTTTGACACCAACCATCTCCCCTTTTTTTCTCCTTTAGACGGTTTCTCACTGGCCTCAACTGACAAACAGGCTAAGCGGGCTGGGCAGCTGTCCTGCCCTGCCTCCCACTGGGATTGCAAGTGTGTGCCCCATGTGGATTAGGGAGGCTGCACTCAGGCCTTGGTGCCTGCATGATGGGTTTTATGACTAAGCTGTCTTCCTGGCCTCCTGTCCCTCATCACTACTCAGGGATGTTGTCAGAGACTGTGTTTGCCTTTACAGTAAAGGATATTTTACTGTGTCAAAAAAAAAAGAAAATAGGTCGAATTTTTTTGTTTGTTTGTTCTTGTTTTCTGAGACAGGGTTTCTCTGTGTAGCCCTGGCTGTCCTGGAACTCGCTCTGTGGACCAGGCTGGCCTTGAACTCACAGAGATCTTCTGCCTCTGTCTCCCAAGTGCTGGGATTTAAGGTGTGTGCCATCACTACCTGGCTCTAATCTTTAACTGAAGCCCCTTTTTTGGTTGGTATGTGAGGTCCTGACTGTGTGTCATTGTTACTATTATAAGAGGCTATGGGGGCTGGAGAGATGGCTCAGAGGTACACTGGCTGCTCTTCCAAAGGTCCTGAGTTCAATTCCCAGCAACCACATGGTGGCTCACAACCATCTGTAATGAGATCTGGTGCCCTCTTCTGGCCTGTGGGGATATGTACAGACAGAACAATGTATACATAATAAATAAATCTTTAAAAAAAAAATAAGAGGCTATTTTCTCTGATTACAGATTCTTTCATTAGTTAGTGGTTTTGAAAACAAACTGTTTCTCTTTCTTTTTTCTTTCTTTCTTTCTTTTTCTTTTCTTTTTTTTTTTTTTGTTTTTTTGTTTTCAAGTCAGTTTCTCTGTATAGCCCTGGCTGTCCTGGAACTCGCAGAGATCTGCACACCTCTGCCTTCTGGGATTAAAGGCATACACCATTACCGCCCAGGGAAACAGTTGTTAAATTTCTCAGCTAAAATTTTTGTTAGCCTGGGTTTCAGAATTTGGTCAACACTACATTGTTACTCAATGTTGCCATAATATGATGCTTTTACCACAGAAGCTCCAGGAGGATTTTAAGAGAAAGTTTGAGCAGGAAAAACCTGTCTTCTCTTAGTTGTCCAGCCGTCCTGCAGCCCTGGCTTCCGAGTCTGGGAACATCCTGGAACACTGGTGCCTGTGTCCCGAGAGGCTGCCAGCTCTGTGCATACCCAGAAGGTGTCCCACCCCCACCTGGGTGTGGAAAGGTCTCAAAACAATGGAAATGCTCACTAGAGAGTTAAAGCCGGTCAACGGGTGACTGGAGAGTGCAGATGGGTGGTAATGTGTGTCGTGTCCTTTATGGTGCTTGAGTACATTAAGTCAGGCTTTCGTATTGCCTTCTTAAATTGATCATGAATTCGGAGAGCCCGTGTTGTCCCTCCTGTGGAGAATTCCCTCTTCTGTGTCCAGGATTAGAGGATGCCCTGTGACTGATGCAGGGGAGTGAAAGATGGCTTCTGCAGTTTTCTGCAACTCTGATCTATTTTCTGCAGATCAGCAACCGTGTCCTGTATGTGCTTTTCACACATGTGCAAGAACTCTTTGGCGCTGTAGTCCTAAAGCAAGTGACAAGGCCTCTGCGTTGGTCCAACATGGCTACCATGCCCACGCTGCCAGAGACCCAGGCAGGCATCAAGGAAGAGATCAGGAGACAGGTGTGTACTTGGCCCTGCCCTTCCGCCGCCCTGACCCCGCCCTCTCTCTACCCTTCCCTGCCTGCTTCTTCGCTGGCCCTTCTTACACCGTATGAGTAAACAACCATGGTGGAAAGGCCATAGGATTTTAAACGGTAAGAATTGGTTTTAAGTTCCTGTGCTCACTCCTGACATGCCAATTTTAGGCAAATTGTTCAACTTTCTTAAGCCTTGGAAATGCTTAAGAAATGAATGAGCTCTGGAATTAATGTGGGAGATAATGCATGGGAAGGACTTAGTCCCACAGCCAGGATCTCAAAAATGTTTGCTTTTCAGCCGGGTGGTGGTGGTGAATGCCTTTAATCCCAGCACTTGGGAGGCAGAAGCAGGCAGATCTCTGTGAGTTCGAGGCCAGCCTGGGCTACAGAGTGAGTTCCAGGAAAGACTCCAAAGCTACACAGAGAAACTCTTGTCTCGAAAAACCAAAAAAGGAAAAAAAAAATTGTTTTTCTAGACAAGGTGCTATTATCTATAATATTTTACAGCTAAAATACTGGAAAGGGGAGTTTAGTAATTTACTCTGTGGCATAATTTCTAGACTGTGTAACTAAGATTTAGCTCAAAACCTGAGTTTTCCCATAATGAAGTATACATTTTTAAAATGACTTTATTCATTGTGTGTGTGTGTGTGTGTGTGTGTGTGTGTGTGTGTGTGTGTGTGTGTGTGTAGGGGGAGGTGGAGAGACTGAGGCTACCTTGGTAAGAAATTCAGGACTGAATAAAAAGCTTGCATACATTGTGTTTGCATGGACATTATCGCATGCCTGTTTTTCTTCTGTCTACTGAGTTCTCCTTTTCAGTTGCTATGAGGGGGAAACAGAGTCAAGGACGTGAATTAATTGCTTATTGGACCACTAGGAACAAATGAATGAGGGTCTAGTTCCCAGGTAAAGCAAATGAGGATGGGTTTGTAGGTCAGCGGAGTCCTTGTGGGAAGAATAATTGTCGCTGCTATTTCTCTTCAGAGAGCTGGTTCTTCATCATAGAAGCTGCATGTGCTGCTTTTCCCTAAGACACTGAACAGCATTCCATGTGTCCTTTTGTTTTCTAGGAGTTTCTTTTGAATTGTTTACATCGAGATCTGCAGGGCGGGATAAAGGACTTATCTAAAGAAGAAAGATTGTGGGAAGTACAAAGGATTCTGACTGCCCTCAAGAGAAAACTGAGGGAAGCTAAAAGACAGGTGAGTTACTTACTGTCTTACAGCCTGTCTAGTAAAGGTGCCGAGTGTGGGGAGTCCTCTTGACACTGCTGTGTGGCAGGCTTTCTCGGACTGACTGCCCCCAAGTCGTGACGCGGAGATCTAATAGTAGTTACGAATGCTCGGCCTCGTCTTAGGCTGTCCCACTAGCTCTTATAACTTAATTTAACCTGTTTCTTCATCTTTTTTTTTCCTTGGGGCTGTTTACCTTTCTTTCATTCTGTCTGTCCTACTTTCCTGCTCCCTCTGTGTCTGTCTGTCTGGCAGCTGCCTGGCTGGCCTTGGATGTCTCCCTCTCTTTCTCTCTCATTCTCTCTCGAGCCTAGATTTCTCCTACTTATTCTCTCTGCCCGCCTGCCCCACCTATCCCTCTACTGCCTGGCTATTGGCTGTTTAGCTTTTTATTAGACCAATCAGGTGCCTTGGGCAGGCAAGGTGAAACAGCAACACATCTTTACCTAGTTAAACAAATGCCGCATAAACAAGTAAACACCTTTACATAGTTAAAGTAATATGATGCAACCTAAACAAATGTAGGATATTTTTACATAGTTAAAATAATATTCTTTTAAAAGTAATAGATACATACTTGTTGATGTTAAATTCTGTGGTGGGAAATTTATTCACATAAATGTTCTTATTCTGTGTTGTTCACATTTTAGCTTGGTATAAATCAAGTGTTTCATTAAGTTTAGAAGGATTTTTTTTTTAATTAAGAAGGTGTTTTGTTGGCCGGGCGGTGGTGGCGCACGACTTTAATCCCAGCACTCGGGAGGTAGAGCCAGGCGGATCTCTGTGAGTTCGAGGCCAGCCTGGGCTACCAAGTGAGTTCCAGGAGAGGCGCAAAGCTACACAGAGAAACCCTGTCTCGAAAAAACCAAAAAAAAAAAAAAGGTGTTTTGTTGTTTTTTATTTCCTGTCTGTAAACAGCTTTCTAAGGGTGAGAAGCAGGCTGGGTGTGAGACCTTGGGGACTTCAGGGGAGTTTGAGTCTTGATGGGAGTTCAGGGATGAAGGCCCAGGAGGATTCTGCACATCAGGGGGAGAACTGTGTGCAGCTGCTGCTGCGTAAGGAAGTTACTCTCTGGGTTTTGTCCTAGTTTAGTGCTTTTGTGAGGCTTGGTTCTGGACTCTGTTTCCTGGGCACACCCAAGCTAAAATACACATCCCTGGAAGATCCTGCAGTCTGCATGCAGATCCTACAAGAAGATTTAAGTGGCTCACTCCACAGACGCTAGTTAAGACCTCAGACCTGGAGAGTGGAGTAGTGGATGGCTGCGATGGTTCCATTTCAGGACAGCCACCGACGTCCTTTGCTCCAAGGTCACAGGCTCTGTTGGGAGCAGGTTGTACTGCACTCAAACTGGCCTTTAACCTGCCCTTCGTGTGTCAGGACGTGTGAGCTAGCAGGAGCCTTTGCGTAGCCTGTTCTCTCCAGCTCACTAGATGGCCTGTCTCGTTTCCTGTGTCCTGTGGCCTCTTGTTTTTACGTAGGATCTCATGTGGCCTGTGATATTGTCAGGATTGTTGTACAGCCAGGATGACCTTGAACTCTTGATCCTGCTGCCTCTGCCTCCCCAGTGCTAGATTCCAGGCATGGGTCACCCTGGGTCACCTGCTTGGCTTTGGGCTCAGGTCTTAGTGACCAGCTGCCCAAGTGTCCCAGGGCAGTTGCAGCTGTTGGTCGTAGGGCACCGTCCAGCAGCCCTTGTGTGATGAGTCCCTGACTTAGAGCATGGCTGGTGGAGCTTTGGCTTTTGTGTGCAGTTGTGCATCTGTTTTGAGTAAAAGAACATGGCTTCTTTTATTCCTAACAAGGGCTGTGAGATGGCTCAGTTGGTGAAGCGCTTGCTTTGGCAAAACCAAGGACTAGAATTCAGTCGGCAGCACCCACGTAAAAGCGAGGCGCAGTACTTATGCTTGTGATCCCAGCACCCACACAGAAGCAGATGCTGTGATTTATGCTGTGATCCCAGCACCCACATAAAAGCCACATGCAATGCTTATGCTTGTGATCCTGCTCTGGGGAGGTGGAGACAGGAGACTCCCTGAACTTGAAGGCCAGCTACTCGAGATGAACCTGTGAGTTCCAGGTTCAGTCCGAGACATTAGCTCAAATAAATAAGGTAGAGAACTGATTGAGGAATGACACCCAACAAATGACTTCCAGCCTCTACACACTGCACCCAAATACACAAATACACACATTTGTGCGTGTGCACACATAGCACACACAGATCTTTGGATTGAAACCAGAGGCAGTATGGAGTATGAAAAGGGATGGATAGCTTCCTTCTGTCAGCTTCTGTTCCCTACCCACCATTCCCTCTTCTCGCTTTCTTCTTCTTTTTTGTTTATTTTGTAGCTATGCACCCAGGTCTAACATGTTGACTTCACCTTTGAGGGAGAAATGACTTAAAGACAGAAGTAGCATCATTCAGTGGATTAATGTCTAAAAATAAGAAAAAGTAGTATCAGTTTAAACCACGATATCATCTTGGCACTTTCTTATAAAATGAAACATGATTACTTATCATATAACCCAGAAATTTATCCTCTAAGAGAGCACCAACCCATAAGCCTTCACAAAACATGTGTCAAGCGTTCATAACAGCTAAAAGCAACGGAGCCCTTCTGGTGAGTAGATAAGTAAGTTGAGGTGCACCCATGCCTTGGCCATCACTCAGCAACTCCTCACATCAACACAGTAGCCAGAAGCATCTAAAAGCCGAGTATGCAGCTAGAGAGCATACTTACTGACCGAGTCAGTTCATCTGAGTGGAGAGAGAGACTAGAGGATAGAAAGCAGGTCTATACTTGCTGGGCATCAACAGAGAGTGGAGCGAAGGGCATGCTTCCTAACAAAGGGTGGTGGTGGTGTGGTTCCTTGATTGTAAAATCAGGCACTTAGAATTTTGACAGTCCTAGAAGCTCCCTTCAAGGTATCACACATGGTCCAGAAGTCATGAGCATATTCATCAGAACTGAGCATTTTTCATAGTGCAGCCACAGACCAAGGTAACCATGTTATGTTCTTTTCTTTTTTTTTTTTTGTGATATATATTTTTTATTTTACAATACCATTCAGTTCTACATATCAGCTATGGGTTCCCCTATTCTCCCCCCTCCCACGCCCTCCCCTTACCCCCAGCCCACCCTCCATTCCCACCTCCTCCAGGACAAGTCCTCCCCCTAGGACTGTGATCAACTTGGTAGACTCAGTCC